GGAGAACACTAGTAACTGTCACTTGTATGATGCATCAAAGTCTTGAACAGAAGCACTTTGATTGCTTGCTCATTTGAGCTTCCCATCAACTTTGCAAGGGAGGTACCATATACGGTCTTATCATCTCTTTATAAACAGGGAAACTGAGATTCTAATAATTTACCACTAGTGCCACAGCTTGAGTATTGAGGCTAGATTTGAACCCAGGCACTTGGGGGCCATGCAATACAGACATATGTTGTTGGAACTGGGAATGATTAGTCTAGGGAAGAAAAAGCTTGGGGAGGGACACAATTAGTTCATAGTCTCCAGGATACTGAGCTAGAAGAAATGAGTATATAAATTTTGTCTTCCTCTTGATATAAGGAATATATTTCTGACCCCTGGAGTTGTCTTGTAAGGGAAAGAACTGGAGAAATGGACTGGAGAACTTTCTCTCTATCAGGTGAAAGCTGCTCAGATTGAGATGAATGAGCATTCTTCACGGAGAAAACTGGAGCTGGCAACATCTAAGCTGTCATCTGGTATAACCTCTACCTGAGCAAAAACCCCTTAGGACATTCAATGGGATTTGGAGGAGTTCACCCAGGAGAATAGGCTTGGGGGTATTTTATCAGGTTTCCTCAGTTCCACTTCTCCCATTCCTCCAGTTCCTGAGCCGAGTTTCCTATTCTCAGGGTCAGAGAGTAAATATCTGCGTCTAGGAAGCATTCCATCATGGTATGATATAGTGGGCAGCTCTCAGTACATCTGAATGTCCTGTGATTTTATGGCCAGTGAAGGCTCCTCACTCACGCCTAGAGAAATAGAATTATTTCCTCACATCTGGTCCCCTGTGTCTCTAATTCTAGCTGTCTTAGTTCCCTGGAACTCATAGCCCAGCAATGGAATGAATGAATGAAGCATCCACTAAGAGTTTGCTATGTGCAATGCACTGTGGCAAGTGTTAGAGATACAAATAGAACAGTAAGGTAGATCCTGCTTTCCAGAAGGAGCTGGCTAGAGCTGGCTAGAGAAGGGGGAAGGCTTAGGAAGAGACATAATTGGTTTGACAGGTCCTCGTATGGAAGGGGGATTAGGCTTAGTTTGGGGTTCTAGAGTCTTGAACTAGAAGAATTGAGTGTACAAACAGCTTGATTTTTACTTGTTATAAAAAAAAAATCTTCCCAACCCCTGGATCCAGGGATGCATTGATAAATGATTAACATCTGACTCTCAGAAAAACAGTGTACACACAATACACGTTTGTGTTTAATCTACATTATTAAAATTTTCTCTTACTTTCTTAAGCCTAGCTAATCAACACAACAAAAAAAAATCAAGCTCTCATTTGAAGTATTTGCTGATTTCCACAGTATAAATGCTCACACTGAAAATTTAACCATCAGCTCTTGGGTAGGCATGAGCTGGCTCCAGCACCCCTCTGCCCAGAATTGGTCACTAGCAACAAGAACTTCATCAATGGAGAATGCAGCTAGGTGTCACAGTCAATAAAGACTAGGCCTTGAGTTGACCTGAGTTCAAATCCAGGCTCTGACATTTATTGGCTGTGTGATCCAGGACAAGTCAATTAGCCTCAGTTTGCCTCAGTTTCCTTAACTGTAATGTAGGAATAATAACAGCATCTACCTTTCAGAGTTGTTGTGAGGATAAAATGATATATTGCAAAATACTTAGCATACTACCTGGCACATAGTTATGATGATGATGATGATGATGATGTTATTATTAGAGTGTATATCAACTAACTGGTCTCTAGGTTGAATTTGAGCTTAAACTAACAGATGTGATCTTGAGAAAGTTGTGATGGACAAATCTTTGTCCTGAGAATTAGGAAACAAAGAAGGTAACTATTGAACCACCTTTCTCTGTGGCCAGAGCCGAATGACATTCCTCCCAGGCTCTTAGCTTTCTCATAGTCATACACATTCTAGTTGCCAGGTTTGATCTGGTTATCTCAATGGTTGGAATCTGATGCTAAATATAAAGAAATGAGAGAAGGCAGAAACCATTTATCAGGATGTGCCAAGCAGGTCGAAGTTCTATGTTTGAGGACCTTATAGATGTACTCTGTTCCTGAGATGAATCTGTGTACATTAGATGCCATATGTAGAAGATGATAAGCTTTTGTGGATGAACATCAATACAAATCACTTCCCACCTAGCCCAGTGGTCTTGAAGCTTGCCTTTCCTTTTCCTCACTTCCTCATGCCTATGTGACGCCATAATCCTAGAGGAAGTTAGTATCTGGAGCTGGCTTGCTAGATGACTACATGCAAATGATTTCCTGTCCATTCCCTTACCTTTAAAAACAGGGCTGCCACTTTAGGTAGGATTGCTCAGTAGGCTGGTAACATGGGAACTCACCTAGCCTAGTTGGTTATTCTCTAAAAGAGACAGATAGGATATCACTGGGGGGAGGTTATTTAGAGCTTCTTATCAAACCCACCTCTCCTTCTAGAGTAGGAAGTGGGCCCAGAGAGGGTAAGAGATATGTCCAAGCTTACATGGATGGAAGTAGTAAAGCCAAAATTCCATTCTAAGTAAACTGGCTCTCAAGCACAGTGTTCTATCCCAGCAGGCTTCATGTGAAATTGCTAAAGGTGTCCTTGGATGGATTAGGGAAAGATCCTCCTTCCCCATTCCATTTCCAGTTCTGATGTTTTCCTAAACTCCAAGTGGTTCATGTTTGCTGAGGGTTCAGGTTTTTCTCTTCTGTTTGTTATCCTTCAAAGTTCCAGGTCATACCCTCCGTGCCTGCTCCCACAGATACCTACCTCTTCCCTCATTGGCTCCATCTTTATCTTCCTGATGGAAGAAGTTTCTATAGTCTTTGACATTGGCAGTGACTGGTGTAGAAGTGGTCCAGGAGGAAGAAACAACCCAACATTAGCAGTTCCTACAGTCATCGGGTACCAGGCCTACCCAGAGAACCCAGGACCAAGTAATCCCAAGAAAAGGAAAATTGTAGGTTTTAGTAACTTGCACCTACTCAAGCAGATACCTACTGAGTTTCCTATCCAACGAGGCCAAATCACAAACTGGGATGCCATAGAGGCTGTTTTGAAATATAGCTATGATCGCCTTGGGATCAAGACTGAGAACCATCCTGTACTGCTAACGGGATTTCTATCAAATCCTGTGAAAGACCGGGAGAAGCTGGTGGAGGTAAGATGGTATCTTCCTCGTATGATTCCCCTTCCCCTTGTTTTTTTGCATTGCTGAAGTTTGCTATGTTAGCCCTATAGCTAAAAATTTATCTTCCCTATGCTATGCATAGTCCCCTAGTCAGAAATGACCTTAGGAAATACACAATATGAGACTTCTTTCCTCTGCCATCTTAAGATGCCCAGAGGCAGCTGCCCTTGGGATGCTGAGATCAGGGGCCAAGAAAGCAAGGTCATTGAGTGAGGAGAAGATGAACCAGAATGGAAAAGATGAGGCTGACTATTGAGTGGATAGAAGAGGCTTGAGAGTTTCTGGTGGAGAGCAGAAACAAGTTAATTCAACAAACATGTTTTGTTGTCTCTTGTTTTTCTACTAGTCATTTCCCTTTCATTACAGCCTCCTCTCTGAACGCTTCCTCTTAACAATGAAAACATTTAAACAAAACCAGTGGACACAGTGACAGTGTCTGGTGGCATATACCATATTCAACCTCCCTGCGTGGAGGCAGGTTTCTGCCCTTATTATGGCTTTGGGTCTGAATTTGTTCCTTTGAAAACACCAGAGTCCAACAGCCTTTGCAGTGCCATTGTTTCCATTATTCAGCAAACACAAAGAGTCTATGCTATGCCCAGCATTGTGGATACTACCATAGAGAAAACCAGGCCCTTTTCTCAGGGAGCTTACAATGGAATAATGAAGAAAGACCTTTTTATAAATAGCTACAATGCACAGAGGAGTGAGGTGTGAGGGCAGATCTGAGAAAGGGCTATGGCTGATTTGACAACAGCTTGGCAGGGCTGGGGGGGATATTGAAAATAAAGGAGAGGAGGATGGTCAGGCAAAGTTTCCTGGGACAGACAGCACCTAAGTTGGCCACCAGAGGAAGGGAGGGATCACTTGGATCACTTTGTCTAGGCCTGTTTCCTCCCATCAATAATGAGGAAATTGGACCAATGGAGCTCTTTCACATTACCTCCTATTTTCTTCTGTGGCTCCTTGAATACAGGAAGGGTTTGAGATTTTGTTATTATAGGATTCCCTTTAATGCAGATCTCAACCTATTTGTATGTAATTTCTGCCTGTCTCAGATCAACTCCTCTGGGGTTGAATGGCTTGTTGAGGATCACTCAGCTAATTGGTATCAGAAGTGGAGTTTGAATTCAGGCCCAGAGCTTGGATCACTACCCTACAGTGCCTTAACCATATCTCTAATGTCTCTGACATACTGAAGAGGATTGCCATTGAATGTGGTGTTGTAAGCAGAACCCCCAGAGTTAGCTTGGGAAAGCCCTTTGAAGGATAGGAGCACAGATAATCCTAATGTATCTTTCTTTGAGACATTTCTCTGTCTCTTTTGGATTTGAAGTCAGAGGACCTGGATTGAAATCCTTTCCCCACTCTCATTTTGGTGACTTAACTACCTTTATAACCCTTCACTTCTCTGTGTTTAAGTTCCTTCACCTGCAAAATGAGCTTTCCTTAACATCTCTAACATTTTTCCCAGCTCTTAATCAATAAAGTTATCTTAAATTATTTAAGTTTTAGTATAGATAGAAAATATTTTCATATTTTGATTCCTGGATGATTGATCTCTAACAATTGGTGAAGTTGTTTGTCTATCAGAAAACACTTATTAAGTATTTGTTGTATACGAGGACTGTACTAAGGGGTGGAGATACAAAGGATAGATGGCAATTTGATTTTTTTGGGAACTTAAGTTCTCTTCAGGGAGACATACACAAATAAGTATGTACAGAATAAAGAGAAGGTAGTTAGAAAGGGAGAGCTTAATAGTTGGTGAGGGAGAGGGACTCAGAGAAGGTGGTATATGAGTTGCATCTCAAATGAAGAGTGAGATTTTTTGAGGTAGAGGAGAGGAAGGAGTACATCCCAAGCATGAGGCATAGCCAATGCAAAGGCATGGAGATTGGAGATAGAGTTCTATGAGGAACAAAGAAAAGATCAGGGTTAACTGGACCATAGAGTGCAGGAAGGAGAGTAATATATAGTGAGGGTGGAAAGATAGATTGACTCTAAAGTTCCCAATATAGGCAAAAGAGTCATTGAAGTATATCATCTAAAGGAGTGACATAGTCAAACTTGGGTTTAAGAAAAATATCTTTGGTAGTTGAATGCAGGATAGATTAGGCTGGAGAGAGATATGAGTCAGGGAGACCGATTAGGAGACTATCGAAATAGTCCAGGGAGAGGTGATGAGGGCCTGATTGTGGCCATGTAAGTGAGAGATATTATGGAAGTCCATGTGATAGTATTAGGCAACTGATTGGATATACAGGGTGAAGGAGAGTGAGGAGATAAGAATAATGTCAAGGTTACAAATTCAGGATACTGGAAGAATAGTGTTATTCTTGACAGAAATGGGGAAGTTTGGTAGAGGGGAGGATCTTAGAGAAAAGATAATGGGCTCTGTTTGAGGCAGATTGAATTTCAGATATGTCTGGGACATCCAGTTTGAAATGTCCAAGGAGGAGGTGAGCTGGCCAGTCAGGAGAGAGATTGGGTCTGGATATATACATCTGGGAGTCATCTGGATGGAAATGATAGTTAAACTCATGGGAACTGATGAGGTCACCAAGTGAGAGAGTATAGAGAAAGAAGAGGAGGCCAAGGACAGGACCTTGGAGAGCACTTACAGTTAGGGGGTATGATATAGACAATGATCCAGCAAAGGAGACTGAGGGGAGGTCTATCGAGTAAAAAGGGAGTCATCAGATAGGAGCATCATGAAAACTCAGAGACAAGAGCACCCAGAAGGAGAGAGGGGAGTCAACAGGAACTCCCATTTCCATATCTCTTGTGGGGTAGAGGAGGGAGCCTTTGCAAAAAAAAAAAGTCTAAGATACATTGTGCAAAGGTTTATTCCCATTTTACAGATAATGAAATGAATGCTCAGAGAAGACGAGTACAATTAGTAAAAGTTACAGCTGGAAATTGAACCCAGATTCTTTGACCAGGACTCTTGATTTCAATTTAAAAATTTTTATTAAACACCTAGTAGGTGCTAGGCATTGGTCCAGGGACTAGGAATGCAAAGACAATGAGTCTTCATCCTCAAGGAGCTTCCATTCTTCTGAGCTGGGATAGAGGAAGAAATATACACATACTATACACACACACACACACACACACACACTCTCTTATGGACATTCATACATGTATGTAAACATGAGTGCATGTGTGTGTATGTGTGTGTATGTGGGCCAGCTAAACTTGTCAGTGAGTTCAGATTCTACAAGGAAGGAGAGATACCTAGAAGTTCTGACCACTACAATGATTTATTAGCCTTGCAAGGGGAGTTACAGGAATGGGCTAGACTGGGCAGTCCTATCCAGTGGCTCAACTAGGTACACAGATAGACTTACATAAGCAGTATTCAAGGGTAGGGTATGGGGTGGTGGTCTATGAAGAGCCCCCTCATTTCCATCAAGTCAAAAAGAACCTTCTCCCCTTGTACCATAGTGTTGAGTTCTCTCCAGGTAGAGAACAGCCCTGTGCTTGTCAGGGGCTTATCAGGAGAGGCACAGCCCCAGAGGTCCCACTGATGGATTTTTCAAATGAAGCCAACATTCCTACCAGGCCCCGTATCTCTAGAGGTGAGGGTCCAGACCATTAGTCTAAGGTTTGCTTCCTCCTCAATGCATGTATGTGTGTATATGTATGTGTATACTCTCCCCAGAGTCTTAATATACATATGTACACACACGTGTGTATGTATACATGCACACAAGTAGTGTATATACGTGTCTAAAATTACACTAAGATCTTTGGAACATCCTGTATATTACATATATATAACAATATAAATAATACATGTGTGTGTATATATACATATTTATCTATATATATGTAAACATACACACATATCTATAATGAGCAGCTACAAAATGAATACATAGCAATTTCTTGGTGATAGAAGAAAAGCTTGGAGGATCAGAAAAGGTCTCTTTAAAATTTGGTGTTAGAGGGGCAGCTAGGTGGTGCAGTGAATAGAGCTCTGGTCTTGGAGTCAGGAGGACCTGAGTTCAAATCCAGCCTCAGACACTTAATACTTACCAGCTGTGTGATTCTGGGCAAGTCACTTAACCCCGATTGCCTCAGAAAAAAAAAAAAGTTGGTGTTAGAGTTAATCCTTAAAGGAGACTTGAGGCTCCAAGAAAGGAAGGGAATAAATTCCAGGAAAGGAGATGGTAGCTTATACAAAGGCAGAAAGGTTGGGATGTCACTTTGGGGAAATATTAAGCTCACCAGTTTGACAGGAAAGGCAAGTACATGAGGGTAAATAATATAAGATTGGACTGGAAAGATGATTAAAGCCAAGAAAAAAGTGATTTCCCTTTGACCATGGGTGGGGGGGGGGATCCTATCTGGCAACATTTCTTGCATGGTTTGAGCCTTTGAACTCCATCCTGTGGCATGGGCTCTTAGGGATGGCAGTCAGGTCATCAGTCAAACAAGCATTTATTAAGAACTTAGGATGTGCCGGGCACTCTATTAAGGACTGATGGTACAAAGAAAGACAAAATCCCATAAGAGCCCTGCCCTCGGGGAGCTCTCAGTCTACTTGGTAGGGGTGGGGTGGGGATATGCTCAGACCTTTCTCAGACCCATGACTGGTGTTGATTTTTTTCTTTCTCCAGATAATGATGGAGACTTTTCAAGTTCCATCTTTGTACATTGGCAACCATGCTGAGCTTTGTCTTTTTGGCTCGGGGTTTTTGACTGGATTGGTCTTACACTCTGGGTCTGGTGTCACCTCTATCACACCTGTTTGCAATGGCAGAGTCAAGAATTTATCCAACAAGATTTTTGAGATGGCTGGGCTAGATGTCAGCTTATTACTACATAAGGCTCTATTTAAGAAAGAGATGAACTTGGTCAGCATATCCCAGCGGTATGATATGGACTTAGCTAAGGAGAGGTTATGCTATGTAAGCAAACATCCTAATCAGAAAGAATCTGTCATTGACCCAATGTCCAATGTCCCTGGAGTGATTGTCCTCCCTGATGGGAAAATCATCACCCTGTCCAAGGAACTGCGTACCTATCCTGATATGTTCTTCTGGACCCCCCAGCATGATGTGCCAAATTTGGACTTATGCTCAGAAGTTATTGATACAGTCATGAAGTGTGCTTCAGAAGAGCAGGCCACCCTCTTCTCTCATGTGGTCCTCTCTGGGGGCAATACCCTCTTCTCTGGCTTCCCAGAGCGCCTTCTCTGGGAGCTGAATGCCATCAGACCCCACTGGGTCCCATCTGAGGTTGTGTCCCGGCCAAATCGGATCTACCTCTCATGGTTGGGAGGATCCATCTTGTCCTGCCTGTCAACCTTCAACACCCAGTGCTTGACCAACAAGGAATACCAAGAAACAGCACAATATGTTGCCCTTTAGGGAAAGGGCCATCGGAAGATTTCCTTTCTATTGGGATAGATTGATGGCCAATGACTGTCTGAGCATGGGAAAAACTTGGTCCTTAAGGAAAGCATCTTCTACAGTTATAACATGAGGGACTGGAGGGATTGTTGCTGTGTTCTAGGGTTCTAGATATGGAGTTCCTTTTATTCCCCTGCAATGGACTTCCAATTTGGGGATGCAGGAAAGAATGCTGTGGGTGAATAGTTGTGAGCAGTAGCTTCTTCAGGCTGCCTTCTTTGGGGGGGGCTGTAAGGGACAGAGTTGAGATCAGGCACAGTTGCTACTAGATAATTAGTCTGGTCCTCCCTGCATCCTGGCTTCAGAATGAGTTCTGAGGTCCTCTGTTGGGGGCAGGTACTTCCAATCTCTACTCAAACTGGGGCCATTATATCTTTTGGTAAGGGAATTTGGCAACAGAATGACTCTTACATGACTTAGAAGGTTTGGGGTGGCTGGGTTCTTCAGAGAACTCCATCCCCTTCCTGAGACAGGCTCTTGGTTCATTTCCCTGCATCCTTCTCTCTTTCTCTTCCCCCCCCGCAAGCCCCGAATCCCCTCAGAAAATAAGCATGTAGATGTTCAGCCCTCTAGAGCAAATCCTCTGCTGGCAAAATTGATTTTTTTCAGATGTTTGTCAGTGCCTCAGTCTGGCAGATTGTGGTCAGTCTGCAGAAGTTCGTGTTCTCTTGGGATGCACTGTTTGGATTGTGTGTACCCTTATGGGGGTGGGGAGGAAGATCAGCACCTCCATAGCTAAGGGGTTTCAGTAGATGTTTGATGTCCAGTTTGAGGAGGAGGTTTGGGCTTGAGGTGCCGATACTTACAGCTCTCCCATATTGCCATGGAAAAGAATGATTGTTCTGGAGCCCATGCTCTGGGCTGTGAATCTGGCAGTGTCGTGCACATAGCTAGGTTAGCCCTTGCCCAGCCTTGACAGGGGAGCTGTCCAGTTCTGAAATGCATTCTTTTAATTGTATATGAAAACCCAATAAACTTGAAAGCATTGTGATGATGGCTTAGGTGGTGAGGAAGGGGAAAGTGGGGAGTATTTATAGAATGCTGCCTGGGAGAGTGGGGTACCTATAATGGTGGTGGTCGTGGGGTGCCAGCCCTGGAGCACGAGGACTGGTGAAGGATGAGAGAGGACAAGCCATTGGGCATCTTATGATCCCATGACTGTACACAGCTCTACACAATTTTAGTCCCACACAGATCTGGTCATGTCACTTTTCTGCTAAAGAACAAAACAAAACAAACAAGATAAAACTATGGTACCTATTGCCAACCAAGTTCAAAGTTTCTTGCTGTGTAGGACCTCTGGGTGGTTACAACACATGCCTGAAAAAGAAACTCATTGAGTGTGTATTCAGCAAGCACTCATCTGGCTTCAAATTCCCAATGAGGGATAACCGACTAACTACTGAGGCAGTTCAGTCCACTTTAGGATAACTCTCTCAGGCTTAGGAATTTTTTCTGACTTCAAACCTAAAATCCTCTTCTCTGCAAGGTCCACATATTTCTCCCAGTTTTACCCTCTGTGGCCAGGCAGAAACAACCTAATCCCTCAGACTAGTCTCAAAGCCAGAACTCCAGACTTTTGAAGACAGTTATTTCCCTCCCTCCTCCTCTTTTCTCTTCTGGATGAACAGTCCTCATCTAGTCAAAAAGCAATTATTAAGCACCTACCACATTTCAGACACTGGAGATCCAACTACCAAAGAAAGAAAAGGTAAGAACAGAAACAATCTATGCTTTCCAGGAGTTTACATTTTATTGGGGGATGAAAACAAATCTAAGGGAGGGAGAGCTTTAGCAGTTGGGAGAGGGAGTCAGAAAAGACTTCAGGGAAAAGGTGATGTTTGAACCGAAGGAAAAGGAGTCCATGAGGTACAAATGAGGGGGGAATGCATTGTTGGCATGTGGGATGGTCAGTTCCAAGGCAAGGAAGTAGAAGTTGGAGTGTTATGTGTGAGGAACAGAGAGATGGGCAATTTGATTGGACCATAGAGTACTGGTAGCAGGGGATAATAAATAATGAAGTGGAGAAGAGAGATTGGGGCTGTGCTGTAAAAGTGTTTAGGAGCCAGAGGAGTTTCTATATATTCTGAAGGCAACATGGAGCCACTTATATTGAGTATGACAGTGACATGGTTAGATCTGTGCTTAAGGACAATCACTTGAGCATCTATGTGTAGATTGAATTACAGTGGGGAAAGATGAGTAGAGAGATCAATCAGGAGGCTCTTTCAGAACTCTAGGTGAGAAGTGATGAGGACTAGGATGAGGTCTGTGGTAGTGGAGAGAATGGGATTGGAAATATGTTGTAAAAGTAGAAATGGCAAGATTTGGCAACTGACTAGTTGTGTTGTATGAGAGAGTGTGAGGAATGGAAGGGAATATTACGGTGGTGAACCTGGAAGAATAGTGATGCTTTTGACAGTAATAACAAAGGTTGGAAGAGGAATGGGTTTGGGAAGAAGGTTGTGTTCTCTTTTAGACATGTTGAGTTTGATATGGGTCTTGGGTATCCATTTTGAAATGTCTAGCAGGCCAATAGTGATGCAGAACTAAAACTCAGGAGAAAGATGGGGGCTAGATATATAGATCTGGGAGTCACCCAGAGATGATAGTTAAACCTATGAGAGCTTATGAGGTCACAAAGTGATATACATTCTGATTGGTAGGAGAGGAGAAATAGCATGCAAGTAACCAGGTTCACATAAGATACATACAAAGTGAAGGGAGGGGAAGAGGAGAGAGATGGGGAGAGGGTCCCAGGACAGAGTATTGAACACAGTCACTGGTAAAATGATATGGGTGATAATTTGGCAAAGGAAACTGAAAAGGGCCAGTTAGGCAGGTAGAAGGAGACCTACAAAAATGTAGTATAATGAAAATCCAGAGAGTAGAGAGTATTTAAGAGGAGAGAGTGGTTAAAAGAGTCAAGTGTAGCAGAGAGGTCAAGAAAAATGAAGACTGAGAAAAACACATCAGATTTGGCAGTTAAGAGAACGTTGGTAACTTTGGAGAGGGCAGTTTCAGTTGAGTTTTGAGATTGGAAGCCAGATTGCAAAAGGTTGAGGAGTGAATGAGCAGAGAAGAAGCAGAGGCTGCAAGTATAGACAGCTTTTTTAGAAGTATGTCTGCAAAAGGTTGGAGAAGTGATAGCTTGAAAGGATGATAGGGTCTAGTGAAGGTTTTTTTTTCCAATGGAAAGACTCAGGCATGTTGGAAGAACCAATGGATAGGGAGAGAGCACATTTATTAAATACCTGCTATGTGCTAGGCACTTTGCTAAGTACTTTATAAATATTATCTCATTTCATTTTTACCACAACCTTGTGAGGTGGATACTATTGTTATGACTCCCATTTTACGGCTGGGGAAAAAGGGGGAGAGAGAGGTTAAAATGACTTTCTCAGGATCACACAACCTGTAAGTGTCTGAAGCGATTTGAACTTCGGTCTTCCTGAGCTTCTAGTCTAGTGCTCTATCTACTCCATTATTTAGTTGCCTTTTTTGAAGATTGGAGAGAGGAGAGTGATGAGGTCAATCTGCTTGGCACATAGTAAATGATTAATAAATACTGACTGATTAATCCAAGAAATGGGAGAAGATGAGATCAAAGGCACATATGGAAGGAGTGACCTTGGCAAGGAGAAGGGTTACCTCATCATCAGAAAGATTGTGGGACAGAGTAGGGTACAGGAGGTTTTGAGAAGAGGTGAAAGGAGAGACCATGACTCCAATTTTCTTGCTTCCTTCAACTAATCCTTGTGTGGCACGAAATCCAGGCTCTTACTCAGCCTAGTTGCCCTTTTCTTCAGCTTATCAAATGGACTTCCTAAAATGTGCCCAGAACTGAATTGAAAAGAGTAGAAAGTTAAGGTCAGAACCTTAGGGAACACTCGGGGTCAGGAGAATTGGCAGCATGGACCATTCCTCTTCTACAAGACAACCATCCAAATACTTCAAGACCAATATCACATTCTTTTCTATTCTCACCCTAACTCAGTGTATCTCTGCACCAGCCCCAGTTCCCCAAAGGGCCAATTACATGATTTTAGGCTCCTACCCATTTCAGACTCTTCCCTTTGGATAGGCTGGACAGACAACAACAATATTCATACGTGTCATCATTCAACGGAAGCCACCCTCTCCAAAGTTACCAACCATCTCTCAATCACCCAATTGAATGACCTTTTCTCAATCCTCTTCTTTCTTGACCTTGATCTCTCTGTAGAGTGATAGTGTCAATCATCATATCCCCCTTGATAAGCTCTTACCTAGATTTTCTTGACATTGTCCTCTCACCTTATCTGCTTATCTGATCTCTCTTCCTCTGTCTCTATCCAGGTTATATCTCCAACTGTGGGTATCCCCACATATCTGTCCTGAGTCCCCTTCTCTTCTACCTCTATACTAGTGGTTCTCAACCCAGGGTCTGTTGGGAGTCCATGAGTAGACTTCAGCAGATATGTGAATTTGGATGGGGAAATTACATCTTTAGTTTTACCATCCTCTAACATTGAACTTGGAGTCAGGAAGACCTGGGTTTAAATCTTGCCTCAGGGACTTACTAGTCATGTGACCTTGGGCAGTTATTTAACCTCTCTCAGCCTTGGTTACTTCATCTGTAAAATGGAGATAATGATAGCACCTACCTCAAGGTGGTTATGAGGCTCAAATGAGCTGCTATATGTAAAGCACTTTGCAAACTATAAAGCTGGCCATTATTGCTGTTCTTGTTATTGATGAATTTAAAAAAAATTTTTTGAGGAAGGGTCCATAAGTTTTTTAGACTACCAAAGGAATCTGTGGCATACAAAAAAGGTTAAGAACTGTTTGCTCTATACTATCTCAGTGATCTCATAGGTTCCTATGGATTCACTTTTTACCTCAGTGCAGATGATTCCCAGGTCTAAATAGCCATAATCTTTCTCCTGAGCTCTGGTCCTACACTGCCAACTGCCTTG